GAAATGAGGAGGCAGGATGCCCACTGGGTGGGAGGCAGGGGCACCCACAGCACTGCAGCCCTTGGGCTGGATGGGACTGCAGCGGTACAGGGGCAAGAGAATTCAGAAATTTTATAACCCTCTCAACAAATCCTCCCTCTTCCAGCACTCACAGTCCCTGCTAAAATTAGTCAGAGCCGAGCACCTCTGAAAAGAAAACAAAGAGGCTTCTCCCCTTCTTGGTAAGGTCACCGCACCAGATCCCTGTCACACAGAGGTAGCACAAACCTTCTGCACCTCCTGCACCGCGTCCTCCTCAGTGCAGCGGCTCAGATTCCCCTCCAACACCTCCAACGCTGCCTCCAAGGCCCAAACATTCCAACAAAGACATTTTTCCTCTATTGTCTAGTCTGATTTTTCAAATGCCACTTCAAACTCCTGTTTCATTGAATGCAAATAGCACGAATATGCCTTTTTTCCCCCTGAAGAATATAATTCGTAGGAAAGCGTTTTCACGGCAACCCCAATTTAATCTCCTTCTTTCTCCCCGTGATCATACAAATGATCTCCAATCTCATCTGCTCAACTGTCACATCCTGCCATCCCACTGTTGCTCTAATTGCACACTGCTGAGCCCCCTCGATCGTTCCGGTATCTCTCCATAATGGCAGGATCAGAACTGAAGGCAGGAATTCTCCCCTCTGCAAAGCGGCACCGCAGCCTTTCATTTCTGCTTTTGACTCTTCTGCAAAACCAAGGCGAGGAAAAGCACTGGCTTATTTCTGAGACACTAATGTTGCACCACAATCTCTTATTCAGGCTCTTCTCACCCCAGGTGGATTTTTTTGTTTAGCATTTTTAACTCTAAACTTTCCAAACAGCCACCTCCCGTATGGTGTTTGTTCTGGTTGCCAGTCCTACTGCAATCTACACCTTTACCACCTCACTGAGCATAAAAAGATATTCTTACCCTTTCCAAACAACAGGCAGTCTTGATCGTCACTTAATGCCGGTTCTTTGGCCCTTTGATTTCACCTCAGCTATAAAATACATCAGGAAAAGACTCAGCCTCCTTAAACCCACAAACAAAAGTTACACAAAAGGCCTGGGTTTCAGTGGCTGCAGAATGTGAGACACACTCCTCAACTGTAAGTGGAACAGGGGCAGGTGTTTATTTGTGTAGTGCTCGATGGTCTTGGGGTATTTTGAGGGTCAAGATTTTTCTTTCTCATGATATCTCTCTATATGCCACTGCATCGAATGTCTTAAACTGAGCTGCTGCAGATGCCTCTGTTCTTACCCAGCAGGACAGACACGGTAACAGAGAACACCACCAAATTCCTCTGCTACGTCAGCTCTCCAGTATATCAGTCAGTAAATGCACTTTCCCCCTGCTCCAAGTGAAAGCAGATACAGTCCCATAATTTAATACCCTAATGCGGGCCTCAAAAGAGAAGGAGCCTCATCAAATTATGACTTGTCTGACCTAGAAGCCCTCTCAGAGCACTCCCAGAGCCTCACTGCTGGAGCAGGGCATAGCAGCATGTGTCACTGCCTCAGCTGATCCAGTTCCCAGTCTTCCATCCCAGCTTAAAGTCTCCCCTAATGCCCTAAGACATCAGATGTGCAGCTTTCTGCTGCTGTACCTCAGTAGCTGTTCCCTCAATATTTAATCTTGTAAGCTGTTAATGCACAGATCTGTGCTAAGCGGCAGGGTTCAGCTTTTTCTGTACTCAAAATTTGCTTCCTTCTCGTCTGAATGTGGCAAAGGCCATTCTTTCACTCCTCAGACCTCAGCTCGAGTCAATAATCGTTCCATTTTAAACCAGTGAGAGCCCAGGTGGTTTTCTTCCTCCTGCAAGCCTCCCTTTCCCTCAAATGCACCACAGAAATTTTTGGCCAGGCGGTCCCTTCGCGTTCCCGTTCGTTTTTATTTATTCACTGCAGCCCCAGTTTTTTTTTTTTCCACTGAGCGAAATAAATAAAAGCCCGGAGGCAGCGCAGCCTCGTCTCCGGAGATGCCGGCAGCTGCCCCGGCCGCCTCCGTGCCAGCGCTGTGCCAGCTGCCACGCAGGGCACGCGGCCACCGCCGGGGACACGGGAGCAGGCAGGGCGAGGGGGCTGCCAAACCAGCACCTCTCCCGGGCCCGGCCCTGCCCTCACCCTGGGGAAGGAGCTGCCGGTGTCTCTCAGCCAAGAATCGCTTCCTCCTCCCTCCGCTCTCCGCTTTGCTCCCGACCAGAGCACGACTCCGGTACGTGACTGGGATGTTCAAAGCCACTAGCCAGCCTAGAAGGGATGCAGATCGCTCCATGGGAAGTGGTCCATGAAGCATCTCCAGCTCTTTGGGACTAGACTAGGCAAGCACAACGCCAGAGCTCTGTGAGACACAAATCCGTTGGGTCACACAATCCCTTGGGCTCTCGGCTCCACCTATGGCAGGAAGTCTTTTTCACGGATATTCTTCAAGACAGAAGTAATTTAAACTCCCAAACGCAACTCATCCTACAGAATCTATTTTCTGAGCAGTGTGGGAAGGTACCGGCCTGCACAGCCATTTATTAGCACAAATAGGAGTGTGTGTTTAACTCTGCGGAACGGGTAGAACAAAGGATTATTAAATAAAATTCCGATTAGTTCAGCTGAAAGCAAAATACCAGCTGGAGCCTGGGGTAACGCAGGCATGGTATCAGCAAACATGTGCTGCCAGCGCATCTGCACACACACACACCCCCCAGCTCTGACCACGGGGAGCCTCCTCAGCCTGCAGCAGCAGAGCCACGGCGTCTCCGCCGTGATCCGTGCTCCCACAGCTCAGGTCCTGCCCTCTGCTCGGCAAAGCCTTTGGCTGTGCAACGGGAACGAGAGGGATGGAACCAGAGTCTTCCCACTTCGTGCCCTCCCGCCAGTAGCCACGCTTTGTTAGCATTCCAAGTGGGAACACGGCCACTCGGCACGGCTGTGGCAGAGTCCCACCGCCTGGAATCACGTGTGGCTCTCCCTCCCACCATCCTGCCTAACTGCAGCCATATTCACTAACAGCCCTTCGGCGTTTAGATCCTAGTGCAGAAGTTAATGAAGCCACTTTGTGAGAGGGCAGCCTCCCCGAGCACAGGATAAATAATGGATGGAGAAGCGGGCTGGGAGGGAACCGGCGCATCCTTGCAAGGTCACGCTGGAATGCATCAGTGGCTCTCTGAGGCTTGGGCTCCTCCGGTAAGGAGCCTGGAGCTATTTATGACTCATGTAATTAATTAATGCCAACGGGCGCTCTGCTGCAGGCACGTGGGAGACCAAAGGGAACTACGAAGCGAGCAGGTTAGGAAATGTGGTGGAGGTGGGAGAGAAGGATGACATTTCTTGCGGCAAGACAGGCTTTGAAGTAATTACCAACAGTCCAAACAGCCAGCAGCTCCTTCGGCTACGTCAGTACAAAATCAATTAGGAGCTTTAAAAATGCATTGGTTTGTCTTGCCAAGAGCATCAGGAATAAGGAGCAGCCTCGGAGGGAGGGCAGTTGCATTTCTGAGCACCACGGGACCACCTTCCCCCCATCCCGATCCTCAGACCCCACAAACGGTGTGACCAGCAGAGGGAGCATCGTTAATGCCTTCCCGATCGCAAACGCTTCGGCATGAGGAGCACCGAGGGACACCCACGGTTTGATTTGATGCGCCGGTAAAGCCCGAGGACAAGTTTAACAGAAGCAAGAGAAAGCACTGAAGGCCGAGTCCCTGCGGGCACTCAGGACTCCTGACACACCTCTCCCTTCCCTGGGCCAGCTCCTCCCACACCGGGAGCTCACCAAACCTCGCAGATCAGGTCGGGGAGGGGACCGTGTCTGTGGCTTCCCTGCTCCAGCTCGCAATACTGCAGTCTCACACCGCACACTCAACATGTGGCGACGCTGAGTCATGACACCGCGCTTGCACAGACCGTTTGAGGACAATGAGAGCTTAACCTAATTTTGTCCCTTTGTTTGCCCTCTGCACAGAGGAGATCAATCAGTTCCACTCCCTGCCTTCACACCCCCCTGCATCCACTGCCTAATACATTATTAAAACTGTAAATACAAATAAAGAACACCCTTTCCCTCCTCTGGGAGAGCTCTAAAGTCCTGTTGGGCTGTACAGCTCCCACCCAGGCTGAATCCTCTCTCATGTCTCTTTGTTGCCAGAATATCTCCTAAGCGTTCCCAAATGTATCCATGCATTGTCCTCGCTCCCTCTTATCAGAGCTGCCTGCAACAAAATCCTCTCACACAATGAGGATTGCAAATTTGCTTACAACCCAGTGCTGTTTCCCATTTCTGCTCCTCTGTGCGTCTCTTTTCCCTCTGGACACTTGCAGGGGTCAAGCGACCACAGCACCAACTCTGCCACAGCCATCTGGATGAGCAGCAGAGGCTGCCTGCATCCCAGTCCTGGCTGGCAAAGCCTGGGAGGCTGCAGGATGCTCCCACTTAAGCCTTACCCACCTCCAGAATCTGAAGGATTGTGTTTTCCATGCTCTGATCTCTGCCAAAGCCCTCAGATCCTGGATGGTGGGACTCCCTGCTGCTACCTGCTATTTTTCTGGAGCAAACCCATGCAAATCAATAGCAGAGATTAAAAAGAAGAAGAAAAGAATGAGTGAAATGAGAGTCAGGTTTAGTTTCATAAATAGATATGAGTAGAACAAGAGCAACACAGTGCTGCTTTCTGCTGGGTTGGGAATCAACAGGAGCCAAAGTCTCCAGGGTAAAACAGGAGAGAAGTAAACGACAACATCAACACCCACTTAGCATTCGTGCTACATATTCCTGCTCTGAGCCTCAGCAGCTTTAGAAATGCTTCTGTTAAACACTGTAATGCTCCCAATTACGACAGATCTGGATTGTTTATTTTCTAAACAGATTTTCCCCCCCCTCACAGGAGATCCCATAAGCCTAAGACAAAAGCAGTCCTGAAGAGGTGTTTCAACCCCTTTTGGCTATACAGTATCCACAGCTGGGCCCATTTCCCTAATTGTTTCATACTGACCTTGAGGATATTTCGGCCATTAAATGACTCCCGCTCCTTGCAAGATGATTTACCAGTCATTGTGTTGTTTCTCTCTTCAGCTGTAGACAGAAAAGCCACCACCAGAATGAGCTTCAGATGGGAGAACTCTGTGTGCTGTACTTCACCCCCCACTCTCTCCCTCCCCAAAGTCAGCTGCCAGCTAATAGATCTAGTTCTTAGAGCAAAAAAACTGCTTTCACTTGGATTTCTAAGGGAATAAGGCAGGAAAGGGGTGCCTCTATCAGGATCACCTATGTTACCTGGAGGAAAGACCCTAAATCAGAGTTACGGGGCGATGGCTCAGTGCAACACACAGGTTTTCTCTCTGGCTGATTTTAATCCCACATCCCAGCCATGCCAGGGTGAATGTCAGCACGGTGAGCACTTGCATGGCCTGGAACAGCCCCAGATTCCAGGCTGAGCGTGCCAGCACAACGCCAGGGGCAATCCGGATCCGGACAGCACTGACACAAACCTCTGCTGCCTGCTCCAGGGAGCACACCCACCTGGTGTGGGTGCTTCTGCTGGGGTGGGCACACAGCCACACAGACCCTCAGGACAGCAACCTGGGCCTACAGCGACTGCCAAATGCCCGTGTCTGAGATCCATTTCCCCAGAGCACGTCCGGATTTTTATATAATCCCTCAGTACATGATCTGTTCTTTCCACAGGACCTCTGTCTCACTCGGTGAATATATTCAACATTCCTTTTTCATCTCCAGCATTAACTACGAAGTCCCCCTCACACCCAGCCTGATATTCAAATCCTGTATGGAATATAAAGCCACTTCCATGGCTGCCTGCAGAAAGCTCTCCCCATTGTGTCTGAATGCCTCATATGCCTCCTGGGGTTGTGCAGAATACAGACTCAGAATGCCAGGCAAAGCTGCCCACGTGCCTCCCATCACAGACAGCCACACCAGCACTTTGAGCTCGAGTTTTTGGGTCTCGATTTGAGACCGGTTTGAGTCAGATAAGTGTGCTTATCTGACTCCAGGACCAGGCAGATCCAAAACCTGCCCAGGAAACCACGACACAAATCACCTGCTCTTCACACAGAGACTCAAAGAGGCAGCAACTAGAGAATTCCCAGCACAACCCATTGCACTGCACGGGGGTCACCGAGGCAGAGCACACGCACGTTTGCACATGGAGAACCAGACTGTAACACACTGCCCCTCCCCAAACATCCCAAACATGATGCTTTTGAGGCTGCTTTATAAAGTAATGTGATAAGAACAGACTGCCAGAGCAGACAATCTCTTGGCAGAGCCGGCAGACACCATACACTCAAGAATAGCTCATATTCAGCCTCTCAGCCATCTGCATCTGATTTAAGGAGAAACACACTGGAATCACGCCCCTAAACCAATGGGCAATCTTTAACTTGACCAAAGGGGATTATGTTTTCATCTTGTTTAAAGGTCAGCACGGCACATGGAGTTGTTACCTAATTTCAATTTAACACTGGGGCACAGAAAGCCCAAGACTTCAGGTGGCACTTGAATCTTCCTCCCTAGCCCAGATCCTGTCAGTGCTCCTGGGCGACAGGGTTTTTGAATCTGTGACTCTGATGACTGCTTTTTTAATTTTCTCCTTGGTTTTATCTCCTGACATCCCCTCACAGCCCTGCAGGTATTCTTGAGATTAAGAAAAATCATACCATTGAGAAAGCAAACAACAAAAGCATTTGCTGAGCAGCAGGCTCCTTTAAATGCATTTATCAGTAAGGATGAAGGGTCTGTACATACTTGGATCTTTCCTGAAGAGAGTGTTCATGACTGTAGCATGCAGCTTCACCCTGTCCCATTCTTTGAGCATCAGGCCAGAGGCCACAAACCGCTCCACCAGCCGATCAGCGATCACCTGCAATCTGGGAAGGCAAGAAGAGAAAGAACAGAGCCATGTAAACCAAGGAGAAGCCCCTGCATCATCAGCTTTTGGCTTTTCAGCTGGGAGGGCAGCAAGTGTGAAATGAAGTCTCTGCACACACACAGGAAAGGGAGCTGGTCCCTGATGGAAAGCGAGCAGAGACATCAAGATTCAGTTCTAACGTGAAAAGTTCTGGCTGTTTCGCAAAGCTTCCTCAGTGATCGCTTCTGCTGTAAATATTCCAGGAAGAAGGGCAGATTTAGCACGGCAGAGAGCTTGTTCACAGTGACAGATGTTACTGGGAGCTGAAGGATGCATCTCTCTCCTGCCAGGAAACACAATGTGACTCTCCCTGCAAATGCTACAATCTGCAGAGCCGCAGGGGCTTAGGCACCTTGTGTCCCAGAGGATCTGCTCAGGGACTGCTGGAGCATGGACCCTCTGTGTCCCAAATAAGCAAACCACTCACTGGGCTTAACTTCTGGGAGAGCCCAGAACGTGGTGACAGAGGGCACAAACCCAGACAGCACATCCTGGAGAACGCTCCAGCTTTGGAGCTACTGAGCAAGCAGAACCAAAGGACTTATTCCCACCTTTGTGTCTGCCTTGTTTGGACATAAAAGTAGCCGTGGCTGCCGGGATCTGTGGGCTGACCCATCCTGGGATAGGCAGCAGGAGCAGAGCAACATGGTCACATATCCTATGCCCAAAGAGCTGCAGGAACTTCCAGGCTGCTGAATGAAGCTTACCAAAAGTAGCGAGGATGTGCTAGAACAAGAGCTTCCCATCCCCAAAAACAAGGCCGGAGGGTATTAAGCCCAGGCAGAAGGATCTGGGCTTCTCTCAGCACGTCCCAGGGATTAGACAGCTTTCTGCTCCGTGAGGTCCCACCACTTTGGTGTCTGAGCTGCAGCAGAGCGTGGCTGCTCCGAGCCTGGTTCCCAGAGCCCGGGGTTGCTGCACTCCAGATGCCAGCTCCTACCCCGCCACCGGTTTTGGAGTGCCCCTCACGGGCTGCCGGCCCCCATGTGACTATTCCAAGACTCTCCAACCACCAATTGTCATGGCTTTCTACCATTTCCTGGCTTTACTTCAGTGATTTTTAAAATTAGCAATGACAAAGATTAAATGAATATCATTACAGACAATACTAAAACAAATTAACAGAGAATAACTCAAGTGAAAATGGTGCTTTATTACGTTATAAAGTTAATCAAGGAAATAAAACAAATTAGAATGAATTATAATGGAAATTATTTGCCATGTGGGAGGCATCAGAGCATGATCCCTCTTTCAGTCTGAGCCATTATATGTGCAGAAGGGCTTGCCAACCCCTAATTCTGTCTGCAGTTACGCAAGCTAAGTCAGGATAAATCAAATCTCCTGCTTTACAGCTTAAGCTGATCAAGATCATCCAAAGATCAGGAAGGAACTCCACCCCTCAGCCATGCCAGGAACTACACAGAGCTAACAGGACATCTTGCATGAGACAGGAAGGCACACACCTCTCTCCAGCACAGGCTGCAGCAGTCTGATCCAGCACAGAGAGCCACGTGGCTGCTGCTCTCCTCTAGTATTGGCCTTGCAGCTCAGAAACTGCTTTCTACCTGCTTTCTGCCCATTTCCCTCAGCAAGGCACAGCAGGTTTCAGCAGGCAAGGAGCTGCTCAGCAATGATTTGTCTTGTAGGCCAGAAAACAAAGCAGAGTTTTCTGGAGAGATCATCATCTGTTTCCTCTTTACTGTTGGTCCAACACGGCGTCTGCTGGAATCTTAGTGGAAGCAAAAGGTGCTCTCCATCTACATAAAAATACCTGCTTTCACCTCTGCAAAGCTAAATGGTTTTCTGGATGCTTGCTACCAGTTAAGGAACTATATTAGGGGGGAAGTGCCAGATGAATTAATTTGCAGGTGAAGGCAGAACCAGCCTGGGCCAAGGATTAAAACTTCAATCCTTGCCCTCTCTGAGCCCACTGCTACGCAAAAAGCAAAGCAAATACTGTGGAAGAGAAGCCTGGCAGCCTTCAAGTGCCACAAAAAGCACAAGGTCTGATCTCTGTGAAGAACAGAGGAGACATCAGCCCTTTCCCAAAGTGGTGTTAGGGGGGGTGTTTTCAGTTTGAAGGCAAGGTGGATTTGAAGGCCTCACTTCTCTCCCCTGCCCAAAGCAGCTCTGCCACCCCTGATGCACACGAGCACTTTCTCCAGCATTGTGGCTAAGTGGGTTCTCAGCAGAAGGGATCCAGCTGGCACCTGAAACACACCACAGCGCTAGTACCAACAATCCAAGCTGTCCCCAGAGGCAGGCAGACACCACTGGAAGTTCAGGCCCTACTTAAGCTCCCCAGGATCCTCTCCCTGCTCCTCAGGCTGCAGACTTGTTTCCAGAGGCAAGCAGGCTCAGAGAACCCCAGAGCTCAGTGACACAGGAGAACAGGCCTATACCTCAGCTCTCAGAGCTGATATTTCAGATGCTCTCCACAACAAACCCACTGAAGGGCATTTGGGTCACCAAGTGTCTGCCTTCTTCTCATCTTTCCAAGTGCTTCTGCCTTCTGTCTCCCTGTGCTCTGCCTCCTGGCTGATCTCTAGCTCGCCCTGGTTCTCCACCCGCCCCGCTTGTTTTATCTCACCTCTTTCAGGGTAGGACAGACTTCAAAGAGGAAGAGCCAAGGAAAGGAAATAATTTGAATTTCAATTGCCTCCCAGCAATTCTTACATTTTTCATTTTCCCACCCATTTCCTTATCCTACTTCCAATCTCTTATTTCAACACGGCCTCCACAGTGTGGTTTTAAGCAGGTGGCTCTTCTGTCTTACTCAGCCCTCGAGGAAAGGAGATGCCAGAATATGTCCCTTCTTCCCTGAGCCAGTCCCTGCTCACTGCCTCCCTCCTCCAGCTGCACTGCTCCATGCTCCTCTGCTAGCTCCTGCTGTCCTCTGGCAACGGGAACGGACAACAAAAGGGCAGCGTTGTCAGGAAAAGAGAAGGCTGAGGCTCAGAGAGAGGAGGCTAAAGCTCTTTTGGATATTCCCCTTCCCTCTTTGTTGATCACAGAATCCTAGAATGGTTTGGGTTGGGAGGGACATTCAGGATCAGGGACCCCTTCCACTAGACCAGGTTGTTCCAAGCCCCACCCGTGTTTCTCCTCAGTCTTCCAGAAAGCACCAAAAGAAAAGGTGGTGCTGCCACGAGTGATGTACCTGCCAAAAACGAGGTGGAGGAAGGCTGTCCAGACACTGCCACATCCTGGGCAGTGCTGCTTGTAGAGCCCACGCCACGAGCCCCAGTGGTGAACAGCACAAACACTCACCCTGACACCAACCAGGCTTCAAGATTGACAGCAGCACCTCAGACATTTCACACCCAGCACCCGTTCCAGGCTGCTACGGACACACAAACCAACTCTAATCAAGCCGTGCTCTTCTGAGGACCTTCTGGGGTAACTGGGTTTTAACAGTAATTAAGTGCTGCAGAATAGGCCAGATTAATCTGGATTGCAGGGTGGGAACTAGACTGCAGAGGCCAAGTCGTCCTGCCTTCTAAATCATCTCAGGAGTATCTCCTGGGCCATCTTATCCACGTGTGAGCTGTGACTCCATTATTCAACCTGACAGGCCACTGCAGGGACAAATGACACCTTTCAGCTGCACCACCAGTGACTGATTCAAAGAGCAAACACATCACTGCCTTAACCGGTTTAGGAAGTGGGGATGACTTCATCTCCCTGACTGTTGGCCCGAGGGCTGCCAGCTGTGCCCACCAGCTCCAGAGGGTTTCCCTAGCACACCCAGGGAGAATGAGGGAAAGGGGCATGGGAAACTCACCTGTCTGAGCCGTCCTTCATGTGGACTTTGGCATAAAGGACGTCGGTCGTGGCAGGGTCGTCGTTCATGTACTCCACTCCCGCCACCTCCACGGTCAGGGGCTTGCCTCCAGTGATTTGGCTAAAACCCAAGAAAGCCCTCGTGTTAAAAAGCAAAATACCACACCTGCTTTTGAGATGCAACCCAGAGTGCTCCTCATGCACGCACCAAATATTTGGGTTTGCTAAGGGAATGATATAAAATACTTTTTTTTGGCCACAGTTAGACACAAATTTGAGGTTAAGAAGGACCTAAATATTACACAGACCACACAGGGTTTTGAACTCCACTGAGGAATTCTTCACTTTCCCAAATCTTTCAGGTTGTCTGCACTGAAAAAAAAAAACAAACACAAAAAGGCTCCCTTTGTCCTAAAGCTCAAAAGGCTATTGTTCTTATGGTCTTATCACCTCAAGAAGTAAAATAATTTAAATTTATCCATTCAGTGTTTCTGGTACATATTAAGTCAACCTGTCAGTGTTCACAGGCCACCTCAATCTCCGTGGATGTGTCAGAAAACCCACCAGCAGTAAAGAGCACAAGTCCTCATTCCAGAGAGGCTCCTCCCTTCCCTATGAAAAGAGCAACTGTGACAGAGTTCTCCAGCTTGCTGATTTTCGCTGGGAAAGCTGCTTGATCCAGAGCACAGTTCTAAGCACACTGCAACATCCACCAGTAAACAGAGCTGGTTTCAAGTCAGCTTCAGCTCCTCTCGCAGGAAGGCGACACCGCAAACGCGTGCAGGATGTGATGTGCACTCCCACACCTGCAAACACACTGTCAAGTGGATCTGCTTCCCAACACGCCACCTCCTTGCCTTTCCCACTCCAGAGCAGCGCTCCCTGTGAGTAAGTGATGCCTTGTTTAACGCCGAGGCCTGGTGGAAAGAACAGGGAGTGTCTGGACAGGCAGATGCAACAAACACGAGTTAACAAGGTGAGCGTGACTTTGCTCTGACCTTGCTCGGCTCTGGCTTGCCCGTGTGAGCGCCTTTGAGGTTCTCAGCTAAGATTCCCAAGTAGAATAAGCAAAGATTCCCAAGTGGAATAATGATTTCCCTTCCCAGTAAGGTTACTGGGAGGAAAACAGCACAAATGTACTATTATGCACGTCCCACCCACAGCACTAAAGGTCATGTATTCTAAAAAAAAAAAAGGGTCAAAAAGGTTACATCTACCTTCACAGGGCACTGCCTGCACTTAGAAAAGGAAATGAAGGCTAATGAAGGTTTATGTGGCTGGAAGGGAGCCTAAATTAATTTTCCAAGTACATTTATTTGGGTGTGGAGGGGGAAATAATAACCTAAAGGTTACATTCAAGTGTTGATTCCCCCTCCATTCAAGAAAACGGGGAGCAAAGATTTTCTCCACCTCAGTTCAAAGCACTTACAAGGAAGCTGGCACTTTCCAAACAGTGCAGGCAGAGCCTCCTCCTGGAAACACACTTGCATTTCTGTTCACCAGCTGAACAACTGGATGGCATTTTAAAGGCAGAGGTATGAATTTTGGCCCTGCATGAATTCCCACAGATAATACCTGGCACAGCGTGGCCAATTCTTGCACGGAGGCAGCACATAAATGAATCCGAAGGATCCGTGCTCTGCGTGCAAAGGCTTGGCAGAAATAAATAAATAAATAAATAAACCCCTCCCTTAGGCCATCTCCAATTTCTAAGCTGAACAGAGATAAGCTAATTATGGTGTCACTGGACCACATTTGCAGCTAAAGCCCCGACATCTGCAGCTCGGTGTTAACGGGCAGCGAGGGAGCCGCGGTCCCGGAGCGGTGAGGAGCTTTTCAGGCTGATGTTGCTCACATGGCTCGTGCTGGTTTCCCTGCACACGTCTCCCACAGCAAGGAATGCGTGTCAAGGACACCTCAGCATCTGCTCCGTGCCAGAGCCCACTGCAGGACACGTGCACAGGTGAGGGAGCTGGGCCCTCCCCCTGCAGCAGGAACAGGGGGCAGCAGCAAAAACCGCTGGCAGGAAAAAAACAACGGGGGCGCACGTGAGAAACAGAAACGAGCAGAGCAGGTTCCCAGGCAGTGCTGAGGGTCTGAGCTGAGCTGCAAGATGCTCTTAGGCTCTTTGTGGCAGCTTGGTGATTTCTACTGCTCCCATTTGAAAGGTTTCAGCCTCTTCCTAAATTTCTAGAGCTGAGAGAGACGACCGAGCTGCTTTTCTCATCGCTGCCCCTTGTCAAAGACAGCGTGCTGCTTTCCCCCCCACTCAGCCCTTGGTGGTGATGACATCCCTTTTCCACCACTTACTCCACAAAGTCCTCTTTGCATTGCTGTAGGAGGTCACACGCTTTCCGGATCTCTTGTTCGTTCAGGAGCACCAGCGTCCCGAGAGTCAGGTGAAGCTTTGCAGGGTTCTGGAACAGGCTGCTGCTGACCCCATGATCCTACAAATCAGTCAATCCATCATATATAGGTGTCTTACCTCACCCACACCCCACTTCCCCCCCTCCATCAGAGGGATAAATACTACAGAGAACGGGTACCAAGCCCCTGACATCGGTACTTTTATCTCTGGTTGGGTTGGTAATGACTCGAAGTTGAGAAACAAAATTTCCCAGGCTTTGCGAGGAAGCGAGCTCAGCCTGGCAGGAGAGGCACAGTCCCACAGCTCCCTGCCTGCCTTTCCTGCTGAACAGCACATTCCAACAGGCTGCAACTTGGGACCCAGGACCAGCAGCACTCACGGGGTTCCGGGAGGAGACTTCCACAGATGTCGAAGCGGCAGCTGCCACCAGCAATGAACTCAACGCAAGCCAGCACTGATTTAATACTCGAGTCCAATTTCTTGTGCAATAACACTGGAACCAGCTGTAGTGACAAGCTCTAAATGGTCTCTAAATCCTGTCTAAACACAGGTTGCACCTCACAACCCAAGCACAGCTAATACCAGCTCTGATAATTACATTTTTCTTCTTCCCATGTGCCCTATAGTTTGCCGAGATGAATTAAGTTTAAATTCCCTTTATAAGAAGAGTTGCATATTGTTGCTGGGGAAGAACTGTTCCCAGGTGGAGTAGTGGTTACATTCAGCTTTAAGAAACAGGCTCTTTTGTTCTAAGATACTTTTAAAAATACCTTGAGGATGGTTAACACACCCATATTAAAACAATTATTTCCACTTTGTGGCTGTTTCCCATCAGCGCATTAAATAACCTCCAATTTTAACTCCAGAAGAAGCCAACCTGCCAGGCCATGGAAGCTTTTCTCCATCTGCAAAGAGTCCACTGACTGAGAATGACAGCTTTGAAGCTTCTAGCTGTGCTCCAGACTTTGAAATGAAACCTTTCAGATGTTTAAACACTGCAGTATCTCAGCCCATCAAGAGTTCAATGCCCCACATCTCACTCAGCATTTTTCATGCCTAATGACCACATCCAGACCCTTCTTTACAGCAGAGCTTATGGGCTGGACTAGAGACAAGCCAGGCTGCAACACAGAAGCCAGGGGCTTGCTCCAGCAGCCACAGGCTGGCGAAAAACAGGTATGGCCCCATCTCGCTTCTCCCCACCTTGCCCTCCCTGCAGTAAAAACCTTGCAGCTTCCTTTAATTCATCCTGCTGTCAACATGCATGACAGGACATGCTTTCTGTCTGTCAGCCTTTTTTCCCCAACGAGACCCGTAGCCAGAGAATATCTGGCCCATCACAAACCAGCAGAAACTGGGAGGAGGTCTGATTTATTCTCACCACGGACAACCAGCCGGTGTCACTCCCACAGAGCGCACAGATGAGGTACAGCACCAAGCAGTCTGCAGGTCAGAAAGCCAAAGCCTCCTTTTCTGCCACAGCACGATTTGTGCTGTAAACACCAACCTGCCCCAAAAAGCTGCCTTTTCCCCTGAGCTTTCCAACCCCTGAGTGTGGGCTGAGAGCTGATGAAGCGATGGCACGTCACGTCCGTGAGCCACGGGGGGCTTAGCGGGGAAGAGCAGTGCACAGAGAGCAGGACAAGACCTAGATAATCTTCCTGCTTCACTCCCTAGTATTTCAGGCAGCTCCTCAAAACCCTGCTTACACTCCCTACTCTTTCACAGGCCGGCAGATCCCACTTCTCCCACACATAAAAAAAGAGATGCTGCGTCAGAGGGAGCTCTCCCTGGAACAGCCAACGTTCCCACGGGTGTCTCGGCAGCCCTTCACGGCTGGATACCGCTTGCTGGGATGCAAAAAGGCTTGAACACACTTATTCTAGTCCCAGACTATGATATGCCATCAGTAACCACTGTGTTGCCTCACAAGAAGCCCTAGAAATGTCTCTAAAAATTTACTGTTCAAACTTGGGTTCTCTAAGGCAGGAAGAACAATCCCTTTTTGCACTATCCCTATGTGATGACTGTCCATTTCAGCTTATGCCTCTCCCTGACACTGCCCTGTCATGCTCCACAAAAACTCATCTCATTTTCACTCAGACTGAAAAAAACAACATTTTTCCTCCCTCCCGCTAATTAAGACTTCTCCCTTTGCCCTCCTCCTTTAGAAGAAGGAGAAAGGGTTTTATTTGGAGTCTTCACCTCTCCTTGCAAAAGCTGTTTTTTCAGATCTCTGACCCTTTAGGAGGGAAACCATAAACCACAGCACACTTCAGGCCTTCTACACGACAAGGCAGAGGATCAACTCCTTAGCTCTTCCTCCCTGGCTGCATCCTCTCTACTGACTTAAAAGCTTCACATGTTTGCAGACAGATTATGTTTGGGGGTTCTTTTTTCCCCTAATAACAGGATACTGCATGCCAGCTATATGCCCCCTGCCATCCCCATCCACAAACAAAGGAGTGAGCCAGGAAAACAGCATTTCCTCAGGACTGACTGAAGATCTGCAGGCTCCAAAACCCCTCTGTCCCTTCCACTCTGAGATACAATATCTCATTAGCAATGGTTGATATTTACAGGTTGCCACACATTACAGCAATCATGTTGCTTCTCCCTGCTACATTTGCAGCCTGTTCAGCCTGCAAAAAGGGCGTTTGCACAGCTCTCCAAGACCCAACTGTGACTTCTCACAGCAATATTACTGTAGAGCCTCTTCCCTTTTCCACCTGCATTCTCAGAAAGACGTTTCAGTTCTCCTCACCCTGACACCCGCACGACTGTGTGAGGAGACTTCCAAGGTCATCCAGTCATCTGGACCTCCCCCTGCAGCACATCAGTGAGGAGCCTGTCCAGGTGAGTCACCTCCCCATGTTTACATTAAATTAACCTCCAAGGAGCCTCCCCTCAGCTCTGCTCAGCAGCCCTGACTGTACAGCAGGAACAACACCTGAAGTGTGCTGTGTTTCAACACAAGGTTTATCTTCTAAAAGACACACACACACAAACTTACACAGCACATACCCACCGACATAATGCTGTGAAATATAAATGAATGGTTGTCATGGCAACTGCTTCAGAGAGAAATAGAGTCCCTCACAAATGCTCAATGGCCAGAAGAAATCCTCACTCACACATACACACACACACACTCCTGGTCCTTACCCTTCCTTACTGTTATTACCCCCTTCATTCAAAGCCTGGAGTTTACCCAATTCTGCAATGTTTTGCACCAGGAAGAGAAACGCCCCGCTCCTGCCACTGAAACCTATTCAGATTTCTCCGAGTATCCTGAGAAATCCCGTTGCTTTGGACAAATCTATAAGCTCTCTTATTGCTCTGCAAGGCACAGTTTTGAATTACTGTTTTTCATTACTGATGTGCTTTCCAGCAGACCCTGCTGTGAGATAAAGTGGTATTAGAGTGGCATTACCGGCTGGAGGAGTGATTGAGAGACGGACGGGGCTGCACTACACTCCTCCAACTAACAGGCAGCAATAAATACATCCAGAAACCCTTTTGCTAAAACCAGGAGAGGGAAGGGCAGAGAAACAAAGCACTATATATTCCTAGGCTACACATATGCAACCCCCCCAAGTACCTGTTACTGACTGAGTCCTGCATTTCAAACCAGAAACAGGAACTCTAGAGCTGATTTCAGGCCCTTACGAGACTCAGAGCTGTCCAGGCACAGAACAAAAACTGCAGAAGGTCAGGCAAGAGGAGATAAAATGAACATGAGCAGCCTGGTCTCAGCACTTCTCTGCCCAAGGCTGGCTTGCTGCAGCTTTCTGGGACAAGGAGCACATGAAGGTTTGCAGATGTTCCCAGGCAGCTCCTTCTGAATGCGACAACACCGAGGAAAGCACAAAGATAAATTTGTGAACATGTTTCTAAGGGGATGGCAGGCCTCCCAGTCTCCCCAGGCACGCAAACTGACATTTAAGAGTGAGAAAAGAGAGGAACAATATGACAGAGACAAGATCAGGAGTGGTTTGGCTGGGCCAAGGGACGGCTGAGGAGGTGCACCCCAAGCAGGAGGCAGCAAAGAGGAGCTCTCTGCAGGGAGAAGGGCTGGCCCTGGGACTGGAAACCAACAGAGGGAGCCAGGCCACCACTGACAACAGCCTGAGGTCCAGCACTCTCTGTCCAGCCAACACCTCCTCAGGCTGATGATTCTATCCCCCTGCCTGCAGGGCTTCCCTTGGGTCAAGGTGAGCTTTAATAGAGGTAGTGCTGCTGGCTAATGGGGAGAGATGATCCTCCTGGCCCGAGGAAAGGGTTCTCATGGCATCACACGGGCTAATCCCGGGATCTGTTGGCCAATTTCAGTTGTATTTAACACCAGCTGGAAATCCCAGTGATAGGAAGCTCCTATAATGTCGTGGAAATATGTAGCTGGGAGGAGAAGAAGGGCTTGAATCTGAACTGCCAGGCAAGACGGCACTGGAGAGCCAGCTCAGGTCAGCTCTTGGAGATGAGACAACTGACATGCAAGTGACCTCAAGAACTTGAGCAAGAACTCCTTATCTCCCCAGATATCAGATAATTCACACCCACAGCACGAAGACATAGGAAACTAAACTTCTGAAGCTGTGCTGTCTGCACGATTGTGTTTTCTCCTCTGCAAGGCACAAGCAGGAGTGAGGTCACGAAGGTAAGATTATCAGCCCACGGAGCCTCGCAATGTGTGTGCAGCGCAACCTGCAGCAGCCACAAAGAGAACTCTTCTCTCCTGCCCAGAGATGTCCTCCAGCACACTCAGAGGACACAGCAGTTAAATAACACCGTTCCTTCTCCTTGGCCCAGCCCACTGACACATCACTCTTGTCAAACCAGACGCACACTAAAATAAACCAGGGAACACAGAGCCTCTCTTCCATTCCCTTCCTCATTTCCCTGTGCCTAACCATTCCCTGCTGCTCCCAGCGCAAGATCTGAAGGTAAGTAGGAGGGACTGTCAGCACAAAGTCTCCTGGGGAAGAAGGGAAGTGATGAGATTTGCAGGATGGTATGTGTTACCAAGTCATCTCTCGCTCGAGCTCTGGCAGTGATACCCATCTTCCTTCACTGCCAGGAGCCAAAGGAAAATGAAACAGAAGCAGCAGCAAATTCATGAATTCCTACCTGATTTCATGGTTATGTAGGAATCATATAAAATGTAGAAAGGTCCACTATATTATTTAGTGGCTTTCCTATTAAAAAACCCCAACCCTCTTCTGAATCTTAGATATCCTCCTATCTACGGAAACCTCTAAGGAGACCAAATATTGTAACTAACAATTTACTAAGTAAGTCATTCCACCTTTCAGAAGATTTCACAACAGTACTCAACAAATTCACAGTAGACCTACCAACTTAAGTAAAAGGCTTGTTAAAAATGCATTCCTAGGGAACAGAATAGAACAAGGCCTTCAAGATAAACACAAAGAGCTCTCTCAACAAATGAAGCAGCACTCTGCGTTTTAATTCCCATATGGATCCTTACCTGTGAGCATTTCTCCAACACTTCCTCCTTGAACTGCAGGAACCTCTCCTGGATTGCAGGTTGGTTGAGAGCAAAGGACAGGAAGTGTGTGAAGGGCTGCTTCTTACGGAAGCTGTCCAGGAGCACATCGATCCGTGTCCGGGCGGAGATGACACCGCTCCGGTGCTGCCCGACGATCACTGCAAGGAAACAAAGCAGGAGACTTGTCTGCCTTCCATGAAGCTAAATAAGAAGTCCTTAAATGGATCATGGTATTACACCAATACTTGTCTGTGCACTTCAAAATAACAGTATTGGAGGATTTTGTGAACGTTTCATCCAGGAGATGCCAGGAGGGAATTAGAAAAACCTGCAGGCCAGCACCTCTCTGCTGTCAGCCCCAGGCTCCAGAGGAAGCAGTAGGAATCAAAACCCCCAACCATGCACTGAGAAATCCTGCCAGACTCCCTGTTTGACTTAAAATGCCTGACACGACCATGTTTTCCTCTGCAAAGACAGGGTGATGCCATCAAAAGTATCCCTCTGCTCTCAAGAAAGTCAGCTCTGACTGTCTAAAAAACAATAACTGAGAGTCCATCAATTCAGCAGCCCTTCAGATTTCTAGAGCACTATTTCAAGTTTTCATAAAGGCAGTCAGAGTGAAGAAGCGAAGAAAATCTATCAAGGATCAAGATGGCCCGCTATCGTTTGTTCATGCACTTCAAGGCACCAAACAGAGAACACTTGAGCTTGAAAGGAAAGAACCACAAGGAGCAAAATTTTCTCAGCTTCCTATTATTACGTGTTTTTAACATCTCTCAGCCTTCTTAATAGTCCTTCACAGTCCTTGGGAAGAAGTCAAGACTCACTTCTCGAGAAGTACCACCACGTTCCCCGCACAGCATCACAGTGGGATCCCCCCCAGCACTTCCTCCTCACAGCTCTGTCACAAACATAAGTGCACACCGTGCCAATAATCCCTGGAGCATGCCCTAAGGAGCCCTCCAAACATCCACTCTGGCAGGTCCTGCACAGGTCAGCCCTGGTGAGCAACGTCTCCTTTCTTTTTAAGTCCCTGGAAGTGATGAGAAGGAACATATGGTACAAGAGAGGCTGCTCTCACTGTTGGGATCGAGTGACAGCACCGGGACGGCAGCAATGTCGTCTAAACACTTCTCAGGTTAAAGCACATGCTGATGTTTGTTTCGTGCAGAAACACACAGGGTGACTTTCTCTGAATGTTTAATTCAGTTCCTTCTTAAGGGAAAAGGTACTGTTTCAAAAACAAAACCAAAGAGGGTCAAAGTTCCCTGAAAGTCTGTCATTTAAGGTCAGAATAGTGAAACTAATTGTCGAATTAAAACAGTTGTTTGTTTTTTTTTTCCCAAAAAAATCTTTCACTGCTTCATAAGGATTTATAGACAGAAAAAATAAAAGCAGAAGAAAAGTGAAGTGATTTTCCCAGGGCCATAAAATGAGTCAGTGCTGTGTCAGAAGTAGGAATTAAAGGGAAAACACCTCCTGTTCCCCCTCCCAGCTTAAACTGTGTTTTTGCAACAGCCAGTAAAAAGCACATTTTGTGCATGTTCAACTCACCAATTTCTCCTTCCACTCCAGGCTTGGGAATGCTGATGGAGGTTCGAGTCTCTGTTTCCAGCCTCTTCTTGGTTTCCCCTTTCTTCCCAATGATATACCTGGAGGCATAAAGGGCAAGAGCTTCACTCACAAAGTCGTGCTGGGCCACTCTCCACCAGGTGTGTTCAGCCAGGAGATGGTCCAGGCTCTGAGTTGGCCCCAGGCACCTGGGGACCCCCAGACTCGGTCCCTCTGTGCTGGAGGGATGCACACACACAGCTGGACCCCATCCAGGCAGGGAGCAATTCCCGGGATTCCACACGTGCCCAGCCCGGGACCATGGGACGATGTTGAGCTGTGGCTCACAACTGGTTTAAGTTAAAATGAGTCAGTTGGTCCATGACAGTTCAGTCCAGTATATCCTGCTACAGCTTATTTGTCAGCTGGGTTATCCCTTTTTCCCATTATCCCAGCTGAGGAAGAACTAAGGGCTCTCTTTCTGCTTTTTGCTTTGCTCAAGGTAGTCGTTTGCCAGCATCCAAATACACCACGGACCACTTTTCCTTCTCTACATTTCAGTGAAACTATTAACTAATAAAACTGTCAGAAACAACTAGACAGAGCTTTGAGCACTACAGGCTTCCCAGCAAACACTGGACTGGAGTCAATAGCCAATTCCAGTCATGTGTGCTCGCTCTGAAAGCTTTCACAAACTTCCCCCTCCCAGGCTGCTCACCCCAGTTCTTTCTCCCCTTCCTTCTCCCACCCTCCCTGATGCTTTTATGTTCAAGGGAAGAGATGCTCAAACACTATCCTGCCAGCCAGCAAGCACCACCTGCTGTCCCTGCCATGGGGACAGCGAGGACTCGAGCGGGGAACAACCACACTGGGAAGGCAGTGCCAATTTTCCCTTTCCCGAGCGCTCAAATCCACAGCCCGGAACACATTTGGGAGATCCGGCGCTCACCCCGACCTCAAAAGGAAAACAAATATTCCGTGCTCAACTGCTTCCTCAGCTGGCAGCAACTCAAACAAACCCCACAGGCACACAGGCTCACTTGTACAGGGGGCTGGGAACCTCCACCCGGCTCTGGAAGCCTCGCTCCGTCTCCTCCACCACGAAGGCGTCGCAGGGATCGTCGTCCGCGCAGTCACCGGGGCCTACCGGGGGAAACCACAACAGTCCTCGTACAAACCTCTGTAAAGTTTGGCAGCACTTTATGTAGGACAGCAGTCTCCTCCCAGCCTTCTCCCAAGGTTAAATGAAGGAAGGAACGGGCTCCTCTCTGTTGAGGATAACTGCTTTTTATTTATCACCTTGCCACCGGCTCCGGAAAACATAATGACTGCTTCTAAATCCAGCGGGCTGGGAGGCGCAGGAAAGAGGCAGTTACAGCCCAGGTTTGCTCTCGGCTGGAATTTCTGCAATTCCCACGCAGTGGGAATGGTCTCTTCTCCCAGCAGGGTGGAAGCCACCAGCTCATTTGGAAATTTAAAGCCGCAGAAGAATACAAATAAAAGGTGAGGGTAGTTTCGGCCCAAGGGTTCGGTGAAGATAGAATAGAAATCCTCAGAGGAATAGAAATTCTGTGAGGGGAACTAAAGAGAACGTTAAAGCTTTGTTCAATCCACTGAAAGGCAAGGTGAGGGTAGAAAAAGAACACAACAGCCACAGTCCTTCTCACCTGAGAAATAACCCTGGAGCTTTTCCGTGCCCACAACAACTCACACACAGCTACCACAAACACACAGGCAGAAAGGTAAAATGCACCACGACAGGAAGAATTTTTCTCTCCCAAAATAGGTAAAAAGCTGCATTGTAGGAGGCCAGTTTTTAAAGGCATAAACACTGGAAGGACAGAGGGTCTTTAGCAGCTTCCTCTGCTGCCATAGCTGCAAATAATCACGCTCCAGAAAAGAAAGGCACTTCAGGAACCTGGGAAAAACAGATGTACAGAGCTAATTTGTTTTTCCCCTTTCCAGGAGATCTTTCACACCCAGCAAGCAAACTGACCCTCAGCAGCACAGCAGCCAAACCCACTTGGGGGAGGGGTAACTGGGATTACTCCCACTCTTCATGCAACAGGATCATCAAACAGAGAAGTTTTCCCCCTCTTAACACTTGACTTCACCACAGGGGCAGGTCTTTGCTGCTCACAAAGACACCAGAGGTGACACTCAGAGCTCCCCTGGGTCCCCAGGGTTGATGTTTTCATCTCTTGAGCATCACTCCTCACCTGCACAGAAATCCTGCTCCTCCTCCTGTGGGAAGGGCTGCTCCTGGATGAGATTCTTCCTGTACACTCGCCCCCCAATCCTCACCAGGGTGGGCCTCAGCACGTCCATCCTGCTCCTCCTCCTGCTGCGAAAACAGAGACACCTTTGCAGCTTCGTCAAGGGAAGGTGAATTCCATCCAGTTCTACCTCCCTGCCATGGGCAGGGACACCTCCCACCATCGCAGGTTGCTCCAAGCCCCGTCCAACCTGGCCTTGGACACTTCCAGGGATCCAGGAGCAGCCACAGCTTCTCTGGGCAACCTGTGGCAGGGCCTCCCCACCCTCCCAGGGGAGCATTTCTTCCCAACAAACAATTTAAACTTTTTACCATAGAGAACATTTAATGGTGCAAAAGCAAAGAACTGTCAGTGACCTATCTTAATCTTCACTTAAAATTCTATGTTTACTGAAATGGTTTAATATTAATGAAATTAATAATTAATATCAAATGTAATTTATTAAATTAACGTCTCAGTTTGTCTTGATTTTAAAACAGAAATCTCTGTTACTTAAAAAAACAAAGCCCCCACCAAAAAATTCACCTCTGTGAATTTTTACAGAAGGTTCACCTGTGCACTGCAACGCAACAGGAAAACATTAACAGTGTGCCTTTGAAGGTGCATTTATCCTAAACTAGATTTATTATACAGTGACATCAGGTTCAGAAGGTTAACGCTTTTCCCCACCTCCTGAAATGACTCACAACCACCCAGAACTTACACTGAAAATAAAAAACTTACACCTTAAAAAAAGTAGTAATTCCCGTAGCTCGAGCGAAGAAGTGCAGAAGCAAACTGCGCACAGAATAAACCACGAAAAGAAATCACACTGCGGCTGGGTTTGGTTTGGTTTGGGGTTTTTTTGGTTCACGTTTTTAAACACACGTTGGCATCAATTTCTTGACACGGGGGTTCTGAAAGCCAGGCAGCCATGGGGGAGGTCGGGAGGCACAAGGCAGACGGGGAGGCAGCCTCTGGGGAGGATGAGGCTCCTGAGGGCAGGTTCAGGGGCAGGATTAGGCTCCCGAGGGCAGGATCAGGGACAGGATCTGCCTTCTGAGGGCACGATCCCGAGGGGCTGCGGGGAGGTCGGCAGGGGCACAGCGGCGCCGCCACGGCCCGCACCGCGCAAACCCCCGGGGCGCCGAGGGCAGAGGAGCGGCAGAACCCCTCGGCTTTACGCCTGAACCCCCGTGGGAAGGCGGCGGGAGCAGAAGAACACCCCTATCCCCCCTTCAGACACCGCCACCATTTCACTGCCCCGCTCCCCTCCCCTCCCCTCCCGCACCCGGCGGAAGTGGCGCGCGCCCGCCCCATCATGCACCGCGAGCGCGGCCACGCGCGCCGTCCGCGCTCGGCCGCCGCCCGGGCACCCAGGTAACGGAGAGAGAGGGCCGGGGAGGGGCACCCGGGAGCGGCGGGAGGGGGCGGCCCGGGAGGCGGAGGGCGCCGGGGCGAGCGGGGGGAAGCGGGGAGGGTGCGAGGCGGCGGCGCGCGGCGGGGGGCTCCGCACTCACCGTGGGCCGCGGGGGCGGGAGCGGCACGGGGCCTCCGGGGGGGCGGGGCTGAGGGGGCGTGTCCGGGAGGGGGGCGTGGTCTGAGGGAGCGGCCCCACCGCCCCGCCAAGATGGCGGTGCCTCAGGCGCCTGAGGGCGCGGGTTTGTGTACACGCGTCGGCATCGCCCCGATCTGTTGCTTCTTCCCCCCCTGTTCGTTTAAAACAAAAACCCCCGCAGCTACGCCTATAGGAATCTGTCGGGTCTGCGAGCCCACACTCCCCATCCCCCCCCCGGTCACCGTGGTTTCAGCGCAAACCGTCATGTCGCCACCCTCGCGAGCGGGGAGCTGAGGAAGGTGTTGCTGGATGTGGCGTAGCCGCGATAAAAGTTTATTTCGTCCAGGCGTTTTCCTCTCACGGCCCCTAAGCCCGCGGCCTCCCGTGAGCCGATGTGTTGCTCTGTGTGACACACAGGGAACGAAACAGCGCTGGGCTCTCCTGGAGAGAGCGTTTACAAGGAGTGCCGGGACAAGGGGGAACGGCTTCACGCGGACAGAGGGCAGGGTTACACTGGGTGTTTGGAACAAATTATTCCCTGTGAGGGTGGGGAGGCCCTGGCACAGGTTGCCCAGAGAAGCTGTGGCTGCCCCTGGATCCCTGGAAGTGTCCAAGGCCAGGTTGGACCCACCTGAGCTAGTGGAAGGTTCCTATGGTTGGAACTGCATGGCCTTTAAGGTCCCTTCCAATCCCATACTATTCCAGGATTCCATGGTTAACTGTGACAGAATACAATTCCTGGTTGTGACAGCCTCTTAAAAGCCCATTTTCTCCACAAAATCCTTGAGTGCTTTCCAAAGGCACTTTCTGTGTACCCTACAGAGCCTGCCGAAATGTACTAAATAGGATAACAAAAATGAATTAAATGGGCACGATAATGGGGAAGTGCTTATAAGTGTTTGGGGGAGCAGCAAGTGCTGTCACTGATAAGTGCCAAGTGCCACCTATTTTACTATCAGAGAGGTACACGGTGAGTTTTAAGAACTCTGTAATGACAAACATACACCCAGTACCTCTTAAATTAAAACAAGGATGGGAAAAGGATGTGCAAGAGGTGACTAGGCTTGTACTGCACAGGCAGATGGATCCTCAGCCATTGCCAGTTGAGGTCAAATACAGTGTTTTAAAGGCAAAAGCACATCTGGAATGATGCAGAAAGCAGCTGCTGCAAGTTAAGCACAGTGTGTCTTCGTGCAGGATGCAGCCCTGGAACTGGCAGTCCTGCAGCCTTCCAGGTTTTATGAGGCAGCAGGACTTTTTCTGTGTTTGTGCTCCTGGAAACAAGGCAAAAAAAAAAAAGTCTTTTTATGACCCAGGGGAGTGGGACAAGTGCCAGGGCAGCTAAAGGCCAGTGAATCCAGGTTATTTTTGTGCACACTCCGGTCATCTGGACGAGTTCCCAGGGTCCCGTGCCCGAGGGGTTGGAGCAGGGTTTACCCGCAGTTTCGGGGTCTCTCTGTGCCTGTCCCCCACAGGCAGTGGGGTGCAGGCAGCTCTCCCACGCACACACAGGGCAGCCTTGAAGCTCTGAGGCAGCAGAGGCGGCATCTTCCTGCCCCTCACCACCTTCATCCGACCTCAGAGGCGCACACAGCCGCTGGCTCCGCGCCCTGGGAAACTCCGAGACGCCCTTCCTAACTCGGCTCCGCCGCTTCTTTGTTCTTGCAGGCTGGGACAGGGTGAAATGGCAGCCTCCTCCTCCTCCTCTTCGGCCGGCGGAGTCAGCGGCAGCTCCGTGACAGGGTCGGGGTTCAGCGTGTCGGACCTGGCACCGCCTCGGAAAGCCCTCTTCACTTACCCCAAAGGAGCTGGGGAGATGCTGGAAGGTGATTGCTCCTGCCCCTCCCAAGTTGTTGAGCTTGGCACCCCGCTGCCTTTTTGGATTTTAGATGGCCAAAGCTAGAGGGGGGGGAAAGGAAGCACCAGGGTCCTGAGCAGCCCCGCCTTTCCCACCAGTTGTTCATGAGGAAGTGATTTTTCTGGCAGTCACCTGTTTTTTAGCTCCATGACAACACTTCAGACAAGGAAGGGATCTACTGAAAGGGAACATGACGGTGTTAATTGCTCATTGTTAGCTAATCCTTTGATGTCAGGCAGGGATTACTGTGAGGATAGCTGAGGCAGGAGTATTTTTCTTGCTCGGGGTTGGATTTGACTGGGCTAGTACAGGAGGCAGCTTGTATCCCTGCCAGCTTGTTGTCTGGGTGCCCGAGCCCTTTCCTGCGTCGGGATTGGGGAAGGAGGAGCCGGGCACGCCGCAGCTGCTCTGGGTGAGGGAGGAAGGGCAGGTCCTCCAGATGAGAGGGTTAAACCAGGGTCTGTCTGTCTGTCTCTCTGTCTGTTCCCCTCGAACTTACTGTGTCACCACGGAGCACTTGTCTGTGTGAACCTGAAATCCATTGGGATGGCCAGGATTGAACCTGGGGCGTCCCCGTGGCAGCGCAGGGCAGCTGGGAGCTGATGGCTGTGCCGTTGAAGGGCTGTTTTTATTACACATTAGAGCCCATATGCCAGGCTATTGAAGTAATTATGACTAAAGGCTTGCTCACAGAACTTAACAAGCCCTCAAAACAAATTAAAGTAATGAAGCACTTCGTGTTACCAAATAGACAGGCAGCTGTTCCTCCCGAGAGCCACTTGGCAGGACAGACAGGGTCAGAGGAGAGAATCACGGAACTGTAAGGCTGGAAAAGGCCTCCGACATCATGGAGTTCAGCTTGTGACTGATGACCACCTTACAGTTGGACTGGAGCACTGAGTGCCACATCCAGTCCTTCCTTGGACACCTCCAGGGGTGGGGACTCTACCACCAACCTGGGCAGCCCCTGCCAAGGCCTGACCACCCTTTCCAGCAAGAAATTCCATCTGATGTCCAACCTCCCCTCTCCTGGCACAGCTGGAGGCCGTTCCCTCTCCTCCTGTCCCTTGTTCCCTGGGAGCAGAGCCTGGTGCCCCCCACCCCGGCTCCCCCCTCCTGTCAGGGAGTTGCAGAGCCAGAAGGTCCCCCCTGAGCCTCCTTTTCTCCAGCCTGAGCCCCCCCAGCTCCCTCAGCCCCTCCTGCTGCTCCAGCCCCTTCCCCAGCTCCATTCCCTTCCCTGCACACGCTCCAGCCCCTCAGTGTCTCCTGTTGGGGGCCCAGAACTGGGCACAGCTCTCGAGGGACCTCAGCTGTGCCCAGCACAAGGGGATAATCGAGTGCCCTGGTCCTGCTCCCTGGAAAGGGAAGGATATGTTTGGAGCAGCACCAGCACAGCATTTCAGCTCTTGCAAGAGCTGAGCACAGCAAATCTCCAGCTCTTTCCTGTGGTTCAGCTTTGGATTAGATTTTTCCAGAGTTTTGCTCTACCCTGAGTCTTTGAAATTGCTTCTCTCCACATCATTATGGCACAGGGCTTTTAATTGATTGTGCTTTGGGCTGACCTCTTTACCAGGAACACAGCAGTTCATCTGCTCTGGATGGCAGCAACAACCCGACACTGTCCCTGTTTCAGGAAGCTTTAGGCTGGCTTTTTAATTTCTGACACAAAAGGTGATACACCCATTCTTTCGTCAGGCAGGTCCCAGCGGGGGAGCTGCATACCAGTTTCCTCTTCAAAAATCCCCACTCACTGACTGATTTCTCTTGTTACTTTAACTATCTGGCTTGTTTTTAAATAGATCTTTAGGTATTTGGGGTTTCTTTAGAAGGAAGCAGTATAAACTGTGTCAGTACTTGGCACACAATTAGCTATGTTTTTCCAGATTGGTTTACTTCTGAGTCACTTGTGTGATCAATTACTGACTTGGATGGCAAGATACACATTATTTGAAATTTTTTTTATGCAGGGTTATGGTCTGAGCCTGTGAGAGATCCTAAAGCATTCTAAGGACACAAGCATCTGAGCCCTGAGGGAATCCGAAACTGCCATAACATTACCTGGCTTCTCCTTAGCTTACCTTCTATTTAAAAATGGACTAAAATTGCTTGTCAGGGGGGATGTAACAGAATCCCAGCCGGGATGTCCCCCACGTGGCACCAGGAGCCAGCCAGAGCTCTGTGCAGGGTCACAGGGGCTGGTGAGGCAGGGGGGAAACCCACACCTCCACCATAAAAATAGAAGGTCGGCAGCACTCCGTGAGCGCTGCTCAGCCTTAACTCTGGGGCTCAGCCACCTCCTTTTCCTGCTTACAGATGGCTCCGAGAGATTCCTCTGTGAGTCCGTCTTCAGCTTCCAGGTTGCGTCGACACTGAAGCAGGTGAAGCACGGTAAGCACCCAGTGAGCTCTGAGCACTGAGCACCGTCAGCTTCGGCGGGGAAGGGGGCAGGGGAGAAGCCTGACCTGCTCTCGGGTGCCAACCACAAAAAATCACCACAAACGCCAAGTCAGGCCACCCCCGAGTCCTTTTGCAAGGCCTGTGCAAAGCGCCGGGAGCCCGCAGAGCCTGGGTAGGAACAGGCCCTGCCTCCCGAAGCTTGTTTGTTTGTCTGTGGCCGTGCAGGCAGCGCGGGAGGTGAGGCCGGAGGAGGAGGAGGAGGAGGAGTGGGCAGGAAACGCCCACGCTCTGATCTCTCAGCCCGGCACTGACTGTCTCTCTGGCCTGGGGCAAAGAGACGCTCCATTCCACCTTTGTTTCTCAGCTGAGCCCTCATGGCACCAGCAGGGTCAAGTGAGGTTCCCAGAGGTGCTCAGGAGGTGCCTGGCGTGGCGTGGCGTGGCGTGGCGTGGCGTGACAGGGCTGACTCCACTGCCTGCCTCCCCTTACATCTTCTTTGAACCTCTGCTTCCCTCCTGGGCCCTCTCACCCTGTAACCGAAGGATGGGCTTGGCTGCACCCAGCTTCAGTTCTCAGAGCAGAGCTCAGCAGCAGATCCTGCCTGCTGTCGCAGGGTCACATCCTTTCTGTCAGCTCAGATGGTACTTCCACCTGTTGTCTCAGGCCGTGGAGGTTTCCTGTCCTCCTCCGGTCGTCAGGAGGTGGTCTGAGGGCGTGCAGCAGCTTGCAAGGCCGTGGTCCTGTATTTCTGAACCAAAAAGCCAGGCTGAACTTCTGAGCCTTTGTGGCTGTAGCTGCTGGGGGCTGCTGCACAGCCTGGCACCCCGATAAACACCAGCCTTGGAAACTGGTTTGCAGAGCACCTCCCTGTTTTCTCTTTGTGAGAAAGGTGTAGGGCTTAAAGGAAAAGATTGAGGTCATCATTTTTTGGCTTGTTTGTTTGACAGTTCCCAAAAGCGCTCGGTTGCAGGAGGTGGAGTGAGAACAGTCCCTCTCTCCAAAGCACCCACTGCTGCAGTCAGCACAAATCGTGCACAGTTTATGTTACACCTCTTGCTAGGCCTGGGCCCTCTCTCCAGGAGGCTGCAGTGAGTTCACAGCACACTGTTACACTTCCAGCAGAGCCAGAAGAAGGGATAATTCCCATCTCTGCACCACTGTAGATAATTTAACTGAAAATGGAGCCTGTGTACCCAACACACAAATCAGTTGTAGATAAACCTAAGAGGAATGTGTTGTCTTGGGGATCCCCAGGGAGAGACCTTCATTTCGTCTGCAGGCTCTGATTGCAGAGCCTTTCTGCCACACTCATCCAGGTCCTCCTCCAAGGACCTTCATTAAAGCCAGGAGTAGTTCCTTGTGCTGCACCCAGCTCTCCCGTGGGCTGACCAAGCCCTCTGAACTTCTCTGTTCTTCTGCACTATAAATATTTATGCTAAAGAAATGAGCTCCATCCTGTTTTCACCCCTGTACACTAATTGGCCTCGTGTTTCCCTGTTAGGACTTGAATGTACACAGCACGGGCAGGGATGGGTAAATACACACCGGGGCAGAAAAGCCTGTCCCTGCTTTCTCCTCACCATTTGCACAGGGTGGGTTTGGATTCAAATGGGCTCGGTGGGTTTTATTCCTCCCTGCTCCCCACTGACAGCTGGGAATTTGCATCTAATTGAAAGGTTTAATTGCGCTGCCATTGCAAACCACAGTTACCTTTGAACTCCTCGCAGATCAACAGGTCGCAAGGATGGAAAAACTAGCTGGTCTGGTGGAGGAGCTGGAGGCAGATGAGTGGAGGTACAAGCCAATAGAGCAGCTCCTGGGATTCACTCCTTCCTCGGGCTGAGCGTGTCTGCATCGCTGCTGTCGGGGAGCAGAAGAAAAACATTCCCTGGCCTGGTTTCAAAACACCCCCCCGTTCATCAGATGCTGACAGCTGCACCGGCACCACGGGGCTTCGCGTCTTTTTGGAGTGGGGATCCCCCATAAAGCTGCCAATAAACAGAAATGACGGGATTCTGTAAGTCCTCACTCCGACAGGCTGGCAGGGCTCAGTTTCTGTAACTTAGAAGGCAGGATCAGCTGTGCAGCCCTCGGAGAGTCACTGTATTATTGACAGAGGAGGGCACACTGACAGTGTGGCTGCAGGGAGGGCGACCCAGTAATTTGGCCTGGCCCTGCGCTGGCGCGTGGCCGAAGCTCTGGGTGACTGGGAAAGCCCCTGCCTGTGCTCTGCAGCAAATGACACCCTGCCAAAAACACTCCTTAGCCCCAGCCCTTGTTCTGGGGGATGCACATGGCAGGAACTGTCCCAGGTCGGGTGAGGGGCCGGGCGGTGCCTCCGAAGCTGTTCCCTCTCCATCACCGTTTCTCTAGTAGCGCTGGTAAAGAAGGACACTGCTCTTTCTTTAATACTCTGAAACTTTTTCCTCTTTGTTCTGTATTAAATTTCTCTGTGACAATAAAATAATTCTCTCTCTGAAACAGTTTATCAGGTGGGGGAGGGTCTGGTGAGGGAAACAATCAGCTGTTCAGGAGGTAAGCAGAGGTTTAGTGAAGCTTGGAGGCAGCTCAGCTGTCGTGATGGTCGAGTGAAGTTCAGTTTGAGAGGAACCAAACCACACTCACGCTCAAAAGTGGATTGATTTAAATCAGATTTTAATCTTGGTTTAGCTCTGCCAGCGGCAGAAACCCCTTATTTAAATCCATCCATTTTAATCATCTTGTTTTTCAGTTGTACTTCACTTCTGTTCCTGGAGGGAACTGGATTTCCATGTTCTGGCATAACCATTTCAACATGATTTTCCATGGATGAGAGCCTTCGCCCCATGGCTCTGCTGGCCAGCAGGGGGTAGGAGCAGCACCGTATGCAAGCAATTATATGATTTACTGCTCCAGATGCCTAAGTCTTCCATTTTCAACATCTTATTTACGAGATGATTGTATTTTTTACTCGCTATTTCAGTCCAGCCACATCTGGATTGAAACAGATTAATTGGAAACCCTCCCCATTTTAGCTGGATCACCAGCAGTGAGCCAAAACAAAGGGGGAAAAGTACACAGCCAGCTTCTGTGTTTGTTGCTGTTCATAAATCAGTTCCAGTATCGGAGATCTGGGTGATCCAGAGCCCCACACTGCTGGTGAAGCCTGAACTCCAGCTCCGTGGAAATTCACGGCGAGGTTCCTGGAGCGGTGTAGGGGCGTTCCCACGTAAGGCTGCGGCTCAGCTGAGACGTGTCCCGGCCCCGGCCCCAGCCCGGAAAACCTCCTCCCCAGCCTTGGAGTGCTGCCAGCCCCTGCTCTGCGGGGGCCTCCTGCACAGTCAGCGGGTCCGCGGCCAGGATCGCTTTAAACGTGACGGAAGGCGGGATCAAAACTCCATCCCAGATGGGCTTGCTTGGGAAAGAAGGGAGCATTTCAATCCTCGACTTTTTTGTTTGGTATAATCTATTTTTAATCCTGCTTACTCCAGCCACTTAAATGTACCTTGGCCAAACCTGCCAAAAATACCCGCCCCGTGTCGCTGGGGGGTTTGGGAACGGAACAGCAGAACCCCAAAACCCCACTTGGTGAACCCGGTGTAATCAGACCCAGAAAGAGCCCGTCCTTTCTACTGCTCGACTTGGGAAACTTTTCCACTCCGCCAGCCCTCTGGGAACACCAGGGGCTTGGCGCCTGTGGTGCTGCCCACGGGATGCAGTGCCCAGGCATTGCCCAGACCTCCCTGTACAGATCCAAAACACAGTGGGGCTGAGATTCATCCCCCTCGCCCTCCTCCCGTTCCTTGTTTTCCTTTGTGCTGGGACAGAGCAGGAGCAGGGAACGTCCCCGGCTCCGTGCTGTACATGGTGTGTTTGTATGTGTGCCCAGCACCAAAATAGACACATGTGTGAGAGCCATTGAGAGGAAGTGAAAAGTTCACCCTGTACAGTACTACGAATGCACAAACATGTTGTTGGCCGTTCCCTCCTCCCGCTCAGTAAACACTTTATGTAAGGCGGGGAGAGCTGGAGGCATCGCCGTACCCTACAGGCAAAACCCTTCTGCTCTCCCCCTCCTCCAGCTTTTCCCTGGCAGCTGGAAACTCCCCAGCCAGCCTATTTCCTGCTTTGCAGATCAGTGGGGCAGCACCGGCCGTAAATATCCCTCCTTGGGGTTTGGGAGCCCCGTTGCCCCCTCACCCCGGGGGTCTCGGGGGCTGTTTGGAGGCCGCAGCCGAGCACGGAGTGCAGAGGGGGAAGGGAACCCGTCAGCTGCCAGAAAAAGTTGATGCAGGGGAGGGAGGGAGAATACAAAAAAAAAAAAAAAAAAAAAAGAGCTGAACAAAGAGCCTCGTTCAGGGCTGCTGGTTGGTTTTCCTGTGGGTGCTCGAGGCAGAACGTTATGTACCGGCCCCGCTCACACCTCCCCTCCCCGGCTCCTCGCACTGCTGGCCACGGCCCCAGCGCCGGCCACGGCGCCAAGGCACGCGCTCGCCCTGCTGCCCGGGCAAGGAGCCCGCCCGGGTAGGCCCCTCCAGCATCCAGGGTGCAGCAGAGTGGGGCAGCACCCCCAAAACACCATCTCCCACCTTCTCCCCCAAAAGCACCCAAGGGGCGATGAGTTTCAGAGCCCCCCCCCCCCGCAAATCTGCGGTGCCAACTCGGCGTCTCAGCTGCCAAAAACCTGTCCACCGCCCTCCTGGATGCACGTTCCTTGTTCCTCTCCGCCCGGCTCCTGCAGCTGCTTGTCCCGGGGGCGAGAGACGGGCCCGGGAGGTTTGGCTGTGGCAGGGACCTGCCCGTCCGGCGGCACGCCGGGACCTGCCGCCGCGTCCCACGCAGCCACAGCTCACCTGTCAGAGCTGGCCACGGGCGCAGAAGATGCACAGGGTCACCCCTCGTGTGCCCGCCACCCCCTACCACAATCGGGGACCCTGCGAGCGAGGACGGGGCCAGAGAGGGTGCGAAAGACCCCCGCCCAGCAAGCAGTGAGGGGACACCCCAAAAACGGCAGCCTCAGCCCCTCTGTTACATTCCCCACGCGAATGCTCGGACAAGGAGGATCACAGTGGCCTCTGTGCCAACCGCGAGTGCCGAAATAATGTGCAAATCTACCTAAAAGCAGCTTTTTGGGCCACGGAGCTGCTGGGAGCAAACAACTACACCACAGGCAGTGGCAGCACCTCGTGGGGCAGGAATTCGGCCCCCGCCATACATGGGGCGCAGTTTGCACTCGACGTGCACCAAGCCACTCGCCGAGACCCTTGATACATCTGCTCTCGTCCTCCTCCTCCTCCTCCTCCCCAGCCCCCTCCCCCTGCAGCCCTGCAAAACAGCTGAGCTCAGCACATCCCGGGCAGGGGCCCAGCCAAGGACCCTCCCCAATGCCAGCCTCTTCCCCCCCGGGCTCCTGCTTAACCCTTTGCAAAGCCAGCCAGGCTGGAACTAGGAATGATCTAGCAAATCTCAACACGGAAGGGCAGCCCACAAGGCACAGCCGCCTGGGAACAGCCTGTCCAGCAGGCTTAGATCCCTCTCTGTTCTCCGAGAAAGGCCAGCAGGTCAGGGGGAAGACGCACTGCTCCTCCACAAAAACCACGCTGGGTTTGCGCCAGCAGCAGGACCTGGGGAGGGGAAGCTCGGGGATTGTGGCTACACTGTAGCTAAAACTTTGCTTTCTGGCCCAAAACCATTCCTCGAGGCTCTGATGCAGAGGAGCAGCCTGGATCTCAGCCTCAGCCTTTTGGGAGGAGAAGGAGCTGCCAGCCCCACATCCTCTCCCTGCCCAGCCGAAGTTCATGGAATTATGTTGGGATTATTTTATTGCAGGGATCAAAAATTACATTTGCCTTTAAAACTTGCCATCACACCAGAGTGCCTGCTCCCCTGCCTACCGGGAGATGCTATGGCAAAGAAAGGAAAATATTTATGCTTGGCTCCAGAATTCCAGCTTATTTTTAGCGAGGCGCCTTCCCTCTGGTCCTTTACCTCTTTTTTGTTTATTTGCTGTTTTCCCCCCGTTTTGACCCCAAAACCAGCAGTTCCTCATCTATTTTCAGCCTCGCCCAGCCAAAGTTTGTACCGACTTGGTGGTTGTGGGGAGAAATAAACCCACGAGGTATATTTTGTGAAAAACAGAATCCCAAGCACCATCCAGCCGTTTCCGAGCGCCAGTGTGCAAATGTCGGGGTGTACTTCTAACAGCTCACTGCGAGTTGCTCATCTTTTGTCCCAAAAAGCCGAGGAGCGGCTTTTGCAAGCTGCAGGCGCGAGCCTGGACTTGTTCCCAGCTCCCCACATAGCCCCTCTGCTCCCCGGGGTGCTCCCCGCTCCTCCACGCTTGGACTCCCCCTCCCTAAACGGCGAAGGTTTCAAGCTTTGAGCCCTTAAAAAGCTTGGTGGGGTGCCCGGCCCCCTGGCCCCCGCAGCCCCGCACCCTTTGGGCAGGGGGTCACCACAGAGGGGGGGTCTGTCCCCCTCGCTGCCCGGCACTGTCTGCTCTGCGCTGTGTTTACTGCCGGGCTCTTATCAATCTCGGCGGGGGAAGGACAGGACCCGAGATAGGTCCTGGGGTGACTGCAGAGTATGCTCAGCCCCTCCGATAAAGCCGCGGGCAGCGCAGCGGGAGGACAAACAAAGCCCTTTATCGCCTGCTCGGAGCTCCCTGAGCTCCTCGGGGTCTGGCTTTGGGAAGGTCACGTACGCGGGGACAGGCACGCACGGACCCGGGGTGCGGGGGACACACGCGCAGGGTGGAGGGCTTGCAGGACGGCGGTGTCAGCTCTGTTTCACTCCAGCATCCCTTATTCCCTTAAGAAACCAGGACAACGCCAGCTAATGGGACACCGGGATCACTCCCGGTTCAGGGCAGGGGTGCTCAGCCCCATCCCATGCCGGGGCAGCAGGATCCGCCCGCGCCGGTGGCACCACGCAAACACCACCTGGAAAACGAGGCGGATCAAAACCAACCCAGGGGGAAAACAGGGAGGGTCGGGGACCGCGGGGACACGGCGTGTGTGTCCCCTTCCCCAGCGGGACGTGCGCCCATGCGGTGCCGGCACGGGGCTGGCCCGGGGGGCGCGGGGGTCAGTCCGGGCGCTGAGGGGGTGCTCGGGGGCGGTGCCCGGGCCTGGGGGGTGCGGGGCAGGGTGGGGGGACCCTGCGGACCCCCTGATGCAACCGCGGCTCGCGTTTGCAGCGCCGGGGCCGCGCCGGCAGGGGGCGTGGCCTGGCACGGGGGCGCGTCAGGAGGCGGGGGCGTGGCCGAGCTGGGGGGCGTGGCCTCCCGCTGTCACCGGGCAGGAGAGACGCGGCGGACGTGCCCCGCGCTCCCATTGGCGGGCGCGGGCCGGGGGGCGGGGCCGGCCGAGCCGCCGCTATATGAGCGGCGGGCGCGGGCGGTGCGGGCAGAGCGGCGGGGACGGGCTCGGTGACATCCACACCCCACATCTGTATCCATGCCCGGGCTCTGGGAGAGGCTGGCGGGCGGCGAGCGGGGCCGCCTGGAGACCTCTGACTGCGAGTCGCTGGGCAGCGCCTCCGGTTCGGAGGGAGGTGAGTGCGGGCTCTCCTCGCTGGGGTTTCTCCGAGGAACGGGGCGGGGGGATCGCTGAGGGTCTCCAAGGGGGGTGGCGGTGCTGTGCCGAGACCTTTTTACACCCCCAAGCCCCTGGGATCGGTGTTTCCCCCGGCCGCGAGACCCCCAGCCCACGCCTGTTGTCACCCCAAGCCCCTGGGGTCGATGTGACCCCCCCAGTCGCTGACCTGTCCTCCCTCCGTGCCTCCCGCAGATGCCGAGTACGCCGAGGGCGTGTCGCTGCCGGACCTGGACCTGGAGCTGCTGCACGACCCCGAGGACGAGATGCTGTGCTCCAGCCTGATGGACGCGGTGCAGGCCGCGCTGGGCCGGGCGCCGCTGGGCTCCAAGCGCTGTTCCCGGCTCCTGATGCCGGCGCAGCTCCTGGCGCAGGTGCGGGCGGAGCTGCAGCGCCTGGCGCGCAGCGAACCCTGCGGGCTGCGCGGGGCCCTCCTCGACCTGTGCGTGGAGCACGGCAAGGCCTGCCACGACGTGGGGCACATCGCCGTGGACCCCGCCGTGGTGCCCACCTTCCAGCTCACCCTGGTGCTCCGGCTGGACTCCCGCCTGTGGCCCAAGATCCAGGGACTCTTCGCCTCGGGGCCGGCCTTCGCGCCGCTGAAGCTGAGCACGGGCTTCAGGGTGATCAAGAAGAAGCTGTACAGCTCCGAGCAGCTGCTCATCGAGGAGTGCTGACGGGCCGGGCCCCGCTTCCCGAATGCTTTTTTGGAAGAGCGTGTTGGAGCGTGGCGGTGGCTCCGGGCGGCCGCTGTAGTTTAGGTTAGGCTGGAGTAGGGCTGTAGGTGGAAGTGTAGTTTGGGCAGGTGGACGTCCCCGTGGGGGCCCTGCCTGTGCCGGGACATCCCTGACGTGGAGCCGACTGGGACCCAGGCGGAGGTCGCTTCACGCCGTCGATGATTGTGGGATGATCCCGGGATGATCCCGGTGACTGCGCCCCCGGAGGCGGCAGCGGGGCTGCTGGGGCGGGGGGGCGGCCGGACTCCTGATGGCTGATCAATCATGGGGCTCTTTTTTTGTAACGAGGATTGTAATCAATGGGGTTTCGGGGGGAGGGGGGGGGCGGGGAGTGAGTGATGGCTGAGCTGTGGGTCTGGATCAAAGACAAACCCCCTCTGCCGGCAGCCGGCCGGAGCCGGGAGGGGGCTCTGGAATTGCGCCGTGTCTTTGATCACGAGAGTGGTGGGAGAGGGGCACGGGAGGTGCCGCGGGGCTGGAGGGCAGGACCCCTCGCCCCGACACGCTGTGGGCGCTTCATTGGTTACAGTTTACACTCATACACTTGATGTTCAAGTGCGACAATTCCTATGCAAATCGTGTCGGGTGGTTTTTTACTTTTCTAATAAAAGTTGTCTTGATTGATAACCCGCCGTCTCCTTGTTGTCACTCTGGTCCGGGGAGGGGGTGATGCAACCACTGCTCTGAAATTCCCGCTGGCACCCTCGGGAAGGCTTTCCCTGGCAGGGCAGCCCCTGTGGTGGGAGCTGGAGGTTTTGGGAATGGTGGGGAATCCCGCTGCGCCCACTCCTAATTGCAGCCACGGGGCTGTGACTCAGGGGGGGCTGAGTCAGGGCCCTGAGCCATACCCCTGCCTGCTCATACCTGGGGAGGAGCACCCCAACATCCCAGCCAGGAGCTGCTGCTCCTCCCATGGGAGCTATGGGGGGATATTTGGGCTGAAAACCAAGAGAACTGGCTAAAATTGTGACTGAAGGAGGCTGGGGAGGGTCACACCTGCCAGGAACAAGCACACCCCAACCCCAAACACAGTGCCAAACTGAGACCAATTACACAAACCTGCAATTAGAGGCCTCGGGGGGAAAAGGCTTTCACTCAAGGGTAATTAAGTCACTTGGCAAACATGGAGCCCTCCCGTTGGAAGGTGTGGGGGGATAAAACCAGCCTGAAAAACCATTGCCATTCACATATGAGTTTGTTCTGGCTCAGGTTTGAGTTGTTGGATTTTTTTTTGTTTTGTTTTGTTTATCCCCCTGTGGACAAACAGTGACTTTTCATGGAAAAAAACCTTGGGATTTGACACAGACAACTCACAACTGGAGCGTTTCTCACTGGTGTAAATACCACCTAGGATGGCACAGCTGGAAGCAGGCCTTTGCACACTGACATTGTGCAAAGAGCGGGGGTGTTTCCCCTTAAAATTTTGGGCCCTGGAGCATTTCTCAAAGGGTCACGTGCCAGAGCATCCCCCCCTCATGGGAGGGGCTGGGGTCAGGCAGTGCCCCCGTGGGATCATCCAGCACAAATCCCCTCCTGGGGAGGGTGGAAAAGGAACTCCAAACCCCAAGTTTTTTTTGGCAAAACTGTGAGAGGAGCAGGTTTTGGGCACTGCCAGCGCAGCGTGTTGATCCCGGGACGATCTACGGCTGTGCTGTCATCCCCTGCTGAGGCACATTACTTGGAGCGATAAATATAGCCCATAAATACATGTATTTTTAAATATCAAGCTCCTAAGCACATGGAGGGGGTGGCCCTGTGCCTCCTGTGCTTCCAGCAGCAGCGTGACCCCCTCTTGGCCCCTACCAGCCACTCTAAGGGAAGACAGGGGACTCCACATCTTGCTTTTTTAAATAAATTGTACCAAGAAAACAATAAACCCACCAAAACTCCCCCAAAACTGAACACAGACAGATGGGACAGCCTCTTTGCTTGGGGGTGCCCAGCAAAACACTCTGTTCAGGAAACGCCCCACGGTCTCAGCACCAGCTGTGAAGGTGAAGCTTTGCTGTTATTTACAGCAAAATGGCCTTTCCGTGGGAAATTTGGGGGCACATCAAGGTCCCTGGGGTTTGGCAGCTCTCTGCAAGGTGCCAGGAGCTTCCAACCAGGCTGGATTAAGTGTCTCCCATGGCAGGGGGGTAGGCAAAAGGATATTTTGGGACCAAGGAGGCATCAATGGAGCTATTTGTGGCACCAGCATCAGCCCAGGGTGCCAGTGGGAAAAGGGAGATTTTGGGGGCACAAGCAGCAGTAAGGCAAATGAGGATTTAAATCCCACAGTAATGCTAAACCCTCGTGTTTGCTACCAGAAAGTGGAGTTTGCTCCCTACCTGCCAGAGGACGCTGCTCCCAGAGTACCTGCCTTCCTTTGCTGCCTCCCGGTCTTTGGGAGCTGCTCCAATTAAAAGCTCGGGCTAATGGGCAGCCCAAACCACCTGCAGGTGAGCAGGGACCAACACACACCGAAATTCAGAGCGTCTCCCATTGCTCTGCACCCAAAATGTAGCAAAACCACCCCAAAAACTGGGCGGTGAATGTGCCTGGTCGCAGCCACGCCACACTCCCCGTGCTGGGGCTGACTCACCCCTGCTGGGAATGTGGCACTGAGGGGAAATGGAAGGGATGTGACCCTTGGCCTCTGAGAAATGGGGAAAAAAGGAAAAACGGGGAAAGTTCTCATGCCAACTGCAGTTTCCAAGTTGCTGCTGTCACGACACACATGCAAGCCAGTGTTTCCACCCAGGACAAAAGCAGCCTGAGCCTTCCTGCCCATCCTGACCCCGTACAAAGGCCACCTTCAAGTGCTGGGATGGTGCTTCCAGGCCAGTGGCATCCTGGGATGAGAACAGAGCATTCCCTGAAAGAGCTTGGCCAGAGGATGCAGGGAGCTGGCTAATAGGAGGGCAAGAAGGTGAGGTGCCCTTCTGGGAACATCCCAGTGGAACCAGTTTGATGCAAAGATGTCCTGCTAGGCATTTGCTGTCACCTTGCCAGGACCCACAGGGGCACGACCTCTTCTCCATCCTTCTCGAATCCCAAAGAAGCACCCCCCCATCACAGGGGTTTCCTGGGATGGCAAAGATCCCAAATTCCATCCACTGCCTGCCTGTGTGAATACAGTGAGGAGCTGTAAAACCAGAGCTGGCTGGAGCAAGGATCTGCAGGACACCAACACAGCCAAGAGCCCTTCACATTATAAACATTTATTTATAGATGTACAATTGTATAATTAATTCTAAATCGAGAGATACAGCCTCTGTGAGCATCCACTGGGATCGACGCCTTCTCGCTCCTTATGATCTGTGGGTATCTACCGGAAAAAAGAACGATCCAAAGGTTTTGGTGGGCAGGCTCCGGGCAGGGAATGCTGTCGGGCAACACATCCAGCTCCTTCTGTGAGCAGGATTTTCGTTCAACCCCGTCCCCATCATCCCTGTGCCTCTATCAAGCGCCATTTCCAAATGCTGAACTTCCACCCACTTCCTTCTGAGAGTGGAGGAGTCATTAAAAAAAAAAGAAAAAAAAGGATTAAAATCAAAACCCCCTTAAAATCAGGTCCAAGCCACAGTTGGCTGTGGGGTAACTGGCCTTGTGGCCAGTGGGAGGGTGAGATGTCACGAAATAAATTAACAGCTGAAGACAGAGCGAGTGGATTCCTACGGACAGCAGGATAAAACCACCTCTGCCAGCCCACCCGGGAGCCGCCGAGCTTCGGATTCACTCCCCGAGCGTGCCGGGGGGACGGTTCTCACTGGAAATGTCTTTAGACACAGATGGGACTGCAGAGCAGCAGAACAAAACTATCATCATCCAGTTTATCCCATGGGAGGCAGCTCTGCTTGTGCCGGCCTTGCTTCCAAGGGGTGGCTCCTGAGCTCAGGCGCCCTCCCACCGGCACTGCCCGGGGGTGACGGAGCGGGACACGCCACAGAGCCCAGGGGGTGCCCCGGTCCTCCCCCAGCAGAACTGCTTGCAGAAGCAACACCACACTCCATTTCCCGTGGATCTGCAGTATTTTCCAGGTCTCCTCTGGGAAACGTGGTGTTGAGGTGCAGCCAAGGCCCGGCTGCTCACGGTGGGTGGGTGGGAGAGGAGCCCCGAGCGTGGGGCGTGCACGAAACCCCCCGACAAAGGGCGAGGCCGGCGGGAAGCCCTGGTGGAAAGCCCTCTCCGCACGGGGCGCGCGCCACACGCTGATTACCAGGCAAAATTCCAGCAGACTCGGCGAAAAAAAAAGAAGTTACGTGCACAGATGAACCCAACGACTGACCAGCACAAACCGCCCGGGACAATCCTTCCCGTCACCGACGCCGGCGCTCAGCTGACCCACTGCGGCTTCTGCCGACGCTGCAAAACCACACCACGGCTCTGGGCGGCTTCCCCCGCTTCCCTGTTACCCCCTGCAGGTCCGCAGCTGCCGTCTGCTGAAGGCAGGTATGGACATCCCAATCCCCACGACGCCGCTGGGCCTCCCGAAAGCCAAGCACAGCAACGGCAAC